GAATAAAAAATTTATAAAATACTACTAAAATAAAATTAATAGAAATGATTTTGAAGAGAAAATAAATTAAATGAAAGAAAAATTAAAATAAATAAAATGATTTTATAGATACAAAGTATTTTTTATATTTCTAAAATAAAAATTAGTAAAAGAATACTCCTCTCTAGCCCTATTTATTATAAGGCACTTCAAGTTAAGAAAAACCTTAAATTGTATTAATTCTATTAAAATACACTAACTCTTTAACTTTATACCTATTTGATATATATTTAAAATAGATCTATATTATAATAAATGAAGGATAAAATAATATATTCATACTAAAAATTTAATAAAGCGACCTATAAATAAGAATAGGAAAAATCATCTCTTTTTGCCTTATAAATAAAATCAAAAGAGTAAAGAGTTAACTTTCATCGTGCACTTTAAAGTATTTTTTAATAACGTTTAATATTTCAAAGTAATTTTTGTGCATCTAAAATTCTTAAAATTTTTTTAGTAATTATCAGTATCTAAAGTAATTTTTTGGTGTATTTTGCCATTGAAATATTTTCTAAGTAGCAATGAGCACCCTAAATTTAGAATACTAAGTTCTTCTGAAAAAATACTTTAGTATGTTAAATGCATAAAAATATTATAAAACACACTGAATGCTATTAAAAAAAATACTATAAGGTGTTAGATAGAACTTAACTCTTTGTCTTTTACTAATTTTTATTTAGAAATACAGAAATATTTGTATCTACAAAATCATTTTATTTATTTTAATTTTTCTTTCATTTAATTTTATTTTCTCTTCAAAATCATTTCTATTTACTTTTATTGAGGAGTATTTAGTAAACATTTTTTTTATTCCTTTTGGGTGGACCCCAACCACGACCGACTTTCCAAAAATTAGAATATTCTCCTCTCCCATTCTCTCTCTTGGCGCAACCTCACCTATGGAAATGTGAGGAAGAAAAGAAGAAAATCAGCTACAAAACGGCGTCACTTCAAGCAGCGGACCACGTAGTGCAGAGAAGCCACTCCCATTTTCCCTAACCACCATCTTCACTAGCAGAAAGGAAAAAAAAGTGGGAACTCAGGCTAATATTTATAAGGGTAATTAATCAAGATAAACAATTGATGATTTCATACCAGGAAAGTGTGTCTTCATGTTTTTACCCTTAGGAAGAGCTTCCTTATAAAATATTATCTTAAAAAATTCAAAGGTTGAACCACAGTTAAAGTTATTACATGAAGGCAGAGTGCTAGCATAGATGCACTATCTTCCTTTATGCGATAGGGGTGAGACCTATTTGAATAAAGGCTTGCTTTATAATTGGTACATTGCTCACTTTATTCAACACTCGCAATAATTCCATTAAGGACTGTCTTGCCTCTTTGAATTGGTCTTTTTAAAGCCCAATCACATATCTAGGGTCTAAACAGACTATAACAACAACGAAAATGCAACTTTAAAAGATCAATGTTCTTTAAGTATTTTTCCTCTCTCATTGCACGGTCATTTTTGCAAGTGCTAAGTATTCAAATTGAAGTTCTCTCTCTCTCTCTCTCTCTCTCTCTCTCTCTCTCTCTCAACCAAGGCTATGGATATGCCATAAAAACAAGATAAACCATATCAAGTTTAGATGCAATTTTAGCCGGCCAATAGCTTTTTACAGAATTAGATCCCCTACCCATTTTTCAACATGGGTAAGGCGCCCAAACGCTCATCTCATGATAAAAGTAGTTATGGTACAATCTTAAATTATTTAAAAAAACCATAAAAATGCGAAAATGTGTCATTTTATAACTGCAAGGTATCTGCATATGTCCTATTTTATCTATAAGCTACAACAACAACAACAAACCTTGTTCCATTATATGAGATTAGTTGCATGTTTGCAAAATGATATTGTGCTTTATTATTAACTAAATCTTTAGATGGGTTGACAGCTAAAAAGTATCGTTCAATGATTTTATTGAGTGTTCTTTTCAATCTTTTCCTATTCTTTTTTAGAGGACTTTGTATTTTCTTATCTACTATTCTCATTGGTGCCTCCAAAAGCCTTATTTTTACATTTCCAAACGGAAGAACAATATCATCAAGGAAAAGCATTCACTTAAAGATTCCTTGTTGAATAAGCTTAGTTAGAAAACATCTAGAATAAGGTCAAACAAAAAATTGAAGTATAAACATTACAAGAGAGATTGCGGGTTTAAGCTCTTGAAGAAGAAGCTGGAAAAGAATTTGGGAATGCCATTTGCATGTGAACACACTTGCTTTTGTTAAAGCAGAGATTCAGCTTGTAGTTGCAGATATATGAGGAGGAGGAGGATGCCAAAAGAACCTCTAAAAAAAACAAGCATAAGATGCTGAGAGCCTGCACATCATAATTATTCATTAGATATTCTTACGTGCCATTTGTTGATATTCAAATTCCACTTTGTATTCTTCTCGTTACAGCTGCCGATATATATGCCTTATTGATTGCTCTGATCTAGAATCTTGAATATTCTGTAAAAGTTATCTTATAATTATATTTTATACATATATGCTTCCACAATACAAGTAAACCCAGAGCAACATGTATGTGTAAAAGTCAGACCTAGCTAGCCACAAAGCAATCTTTGTGAGGTTCGCACACAGACACAGAGGATTTTAGATTAAGAAACAGAGATCCAATTCTAAGAACTATGAGACAGTGAGAATATGAAGGACAATCATGACTTTCATACCACTTGCTTTGGTTTCTTTGGCATATGCCATTTTCTCTCCAATACTGACCTGCAAGCTTTATTTCAAGCTAGCAATGGAAGGCACATTTCTGTTATGTTTGGTTGGAAAGTAATAGAGAAATAAAGGAGAAGATTTTTCTTTATTTACCATTAAGAATGCCTTTCCAGTCATCTCTATCTCCTAGATTGCGTCGAACCTCTTCCAAATAACCAAAAAAGAAACCTATGCTACGTGCTGATGTCCTTGAAAGAATAAGAAGCTCAAACGCGTAAAATCTTGGATTCCTTTCTGGAATAAGGATTTTGGGAACTAGTTTTAATACTTATCGTAATAATAAACATCATAATACTCATCATTGTGTTAAAATCTAAACCATTCCAAACTAGTTTTAATGGTTTAAATTTAAATTTTTAACTTGTGATTTTTAAATAAAAATTTATTTTTTGAAAACACTTACAGTTAAGATGTTACATTTATTCTAGATTATGTAACTATTGAAGAAAAAATATTTTTTGAACAACAAAAATATTAATATTAAATATTGACTGTCCATATTAAATTTGAATAGTTGAGATTTGATAAGTATCATAGTGCTCATAACTTCAGTAAGCATCAAAACAGGCTTCAGGATTTAGGTATGTTTAAGCTTTTGTTTTGTATTTCTAAAAATTGACACGGAACATCAATTTAAGATAAGGATGAGGTTTTGGCAAGCACTAAGTAGAACATCAATTTTGGAAAGAAAGAAACATCAATGAAATTTATAAGAGTGGGTGTGATTTTTCTTTTATGCCTGGGCAACATAAAATTGGGGTAAATTAGTTACAGCCTCACAGGGACTTACAAGTAAGATTTTCAGATCAATGTAAAAATGTGAATTAAAAGTCAAATCTTTACGAATAAAAATAACTTTTATTTGGAGGATGCGATGTAAAGCTAGATTAGGAGGTGTGGGAAGGGGAAAGCATCAAATTTGTGGTGAAATATAGGGCGAAAGAAGACCACTTGGAAAGAGGAAGCATCCAAGTCCCATGTACACCACAAATATGTGCCAACAAAATTGTGGTCAGCCCTTACGCGCAATTGGGGCAATTCCAACTCCTGCCGCCGCCCAACCCTCCCATTCATGCATCTCCCATTTCAGCAAAATGCCTTGCAAGCCATTTAATTGGATATCATAACTCTAATTTCCCATGGATCCGTCTTGGCTTCTATTACTAGTCAAAATATTTTTTATACGTTTCTTGTTAACTTTCCTTAAACATTTAATAATGTTTTGCTGCTTACAAATTGGGCCATGATATACCACTCTGATGCTTTTTTAATTGTTATTTATAAGAGAAGATTTTAGTCTTTTTTTAATTTATCACTTGTACTTTTTTTTTAGTACTTCATTTTCAATTCTATCCCCATCAATTTAAGGGCGATGAATGTAAAGATGAAGAAAGAAAAAAATGAGTGAGAAAAAATGTACCGGCTATTTAATAACAATAAAAAAAAATTTATGTCTTTTATAATTTCTTTAGTATTAAAAAAATTACAACAAATAACCATTAAAAGTACCACAGTGGTTTATATTTCTAGAAATCAGAAATCAGAATCCAACTTTTGGTCATTGAAGCGATTGACCCATCCACCTGCACCGTCCACACACGCCTACGCAATAATAAAGCGGCCGAACGAAGGGCCCACGCAGAATCGCCATTAACTTAACCAAATTAAATCAATCAAACTCACACAATCACGGAAAACCCCACCAAAAAATGATTCCCTCACGCTTTTTCGTTGACCTTGATCTTAATTACAATCTTTTTTTATCTTTGTTTTATTGATATAATAGTATTAAATCGTTTTTATCTTCATTAAAGAATATTTAATTTATCGAATTTCATTGACCTTGATCTTAATTACAATCATTCTTTCTTTATTATTACCAATAATCCAATTTTTAGTTGAAAACTAACTTACATTTATATCCCCTCGACATCATAAAAGTTGTTGATGTCAGTTAAAATTCTAACCATACCAAAATGAACTATTAATATTAGTATCAATAGTTTAAAAAAAATTATTTGTTTTGCCAGCATACAAAAACACGTTTATCTAAGTCGTGCTACAACCCATTCTCATCGTTTATCTTTTCCCCCGTTCATTTTCATCGTTTATCACTAACCACGGTACTGGTACTCTTTGAGAGCGGACAAAGGGTTCAGCGCAAAAAGAAAAACAAATAAGGAAAGAAATGGATTTGAACAATAACTCTTGATGGGTCTTGGGGGGTCAAAAACACCAAAATTCAGGAACTCTTGGAACTTGGAACATAAATTCTAGCAGACAGACGTGAATGGAGGGAACAAACACCCTACACGCTTCCCACATTCAATCCGTTTGTTTTCTTTTTCTTCATTTTTCCTAAACTTGACAGTACCAGCAGCACAAGGCCAAAAAAAAAAAATACCAGCAGCAAAATGCCGGCAACAAAGCAAAATAAACATTAACGGACGACCTCGACGACGACAAGCATTAATTTAAAAATACACACTGCGGGCAGGGGAATGCAAAAGCGTAAATGGACAAACTCACATCTCAAGCAACGCAATAGGACCACTGCTCATCATCTGCGACCACAGAATCAGCAGAAACGCCATTGAAATCATCATCAGAAGCGCAGTAGTAAAAGCCATTATTGTTGTTGCGAGCAGCGGTCAAGCAGCAAGAATCCACAGCCAGATATGGCATGTTGTTGAACGAGCGGGCGAGGCTGGAAGCCAGAGCTGAAGCATTGTGGATCTTATCTTCATCCTCATCCTCCATTTGCTGCTCGAAGCTCTCTTGCACGCGGTGCTTCAGAGTCTCGAACATGAGCTCGGGCTCGTGTTGCATCACCCGTAGGACATCCGCGCACGACGGCCCCGGCACTGCACGCGTCACTGCGAAGCTGTATGGACCGTCGCTCTGCGACACCCGAACCACGCTCGGGCCACCGAACAGATTATGGACTCCTCCGAGTGCCTCCTCGTAAGCCCCACCTAAGAACATTCCCAGATAGTATTTCCTGACATTACCGCCATTGGCACCACCTTCGCCTTCCAGATCATGGAGCGGCAAACTAGACTCGCCTCCTATGAACTTGTCTATTTTTCCATCACTGTCACAGGTCAAATCTGATAAAATTCCCCTTGCGGAGGGCTTCTCGTCCAGACGATGAATGGGAGCTATGGGAAACAGTTGTCCAATGGCCCAAAAATCAGGAATGGAAGTGAATATCGAGATGTTGGCATGGTATGTCCTTACCGGATCTGTTGCACCCATTGCCTTATTCACCAAGTCACACAAACCATCAACAGCAGCAAGGTGCTCCATGTCTAGAGAACCCTGTTTGAATTGCTCAACACATCGTTGCTTCAATTGATCAACGTACAGCAAGCAGGTATCATAATCACCTCTCATGGCCGCAGCAGAAAGGTTACTATAATCTGCCCGAGCATCCTCTGAGAGCCTCTCCGCCAAATATTGCAACCCAAGGGTGGACATCGTTGGAACTTCGTAAGAAGTTGCAGAAACCACTTCAAAAATAAAAACAGAGTGATGAGAAACAATGGCCCTGCCGCTTTCACTGCAGAGCACTGGGTGCCTGACCGACCTGCGATCACAGACACACTGGAGTGCTTGAACAACTGCCGCAGCGTACTCTTGGAGACCATATCCAACAGATACATCAGAGTCAGCCGACTTGGAACCATCGTAATCTATGCCCAGACCACCTCCAATATCGAATACTTGCATATGAGCACCTAGTCGAACCAATTCACAATAAATCTGTGCCGCCTCTCCAACCCCATCAGCAAGCAATGTGGTGGAAGGAATTTGAGAGCCTATATGGAAATGAAGCAACTGTAGGCAATCAAGCATACCCGCTTGTTCCAGCTTTTTGACTACACGCAGAATCTGGATTGTGGTCAGCCCAAACTTTCCTTTCTCCCCTGAAGTTGAACCAAAATGACCAGAATGTTTTGTCCTCAGCTTAGCTCGAACACCAATAACAGGTCGAATGCAAAGCTGCTTGCTCAACCCAATGATCAAGTCAAGCTCTTCCTCTTGCTCAAGAACAATTATGGTGTTCAAGGCGAGCTTCCTTGCAATCAGAGCCAGAGAAATATATTCACCGTCTTTAAACCCATTGCATACCAAAAAGGCTTCAGAATTACCCGTGCACAAACAATTCATGGCTAGGAGGAGCTCAGGTTTCGATCCTGCCTCTAGCCCAAACCGGAATGGAGATCCAAACTTAACAATATCTTCCACAACGAACCGGTCCTGGTTACATTTGACCGGGTAAACACCTTGGTAATGGGATTCATATCCGAAAGATTGAATTGCGTACTCGAAAGCCGAGTTAAGGGATTCAAGCCGGTTCTTCAGCACGTCCGGAAACCGAACAACAAGAGGAAGCTGCATACCAAGGCCGCCGGATGATTTGGGATCTGAGACTTTCTTAACAATCTTGAGCAAATCAATCTCCTGGTGAGAAAGGGTCCCTGAACCATGAGGTCGGACAGAAATATTCCCAGATGAATTCACAGAAAAGTATGGAGCACCCCACCCATCGATCTTGTAAAGGGAAGCCGACAGAGAAGGTGACCAATGGGAATCGTCCATGGAAACGGTGACGGTGTTGTTATCGGCGGTAGTGTTCCTCGTCGCCGGAGGTACGCCAAAAAATGTGACCGGCGCCAGAAGAGAGCTATCCCCAGCTAAAGCGTAGCCAGGAGGACCAAGTGCAGCATCCACGCAACAAGCTAGGCCGGCATCTCTTCTGCGACGATCAAATTGAATCAGGGAAAAAGATTCTTAAAATTTTTGTAATCTCGTTCAGATGGGGGCTTTAAAACCCGCCGAGGCCGAGGCCCCGGCTACCCCCTCAAAAGAAAACAGTAGAAGATCTATTGAAAATGGAGAAACCCTCCCTGTTCTCCTCACAGAAAATCCCCACACCGACCCCTCAGAAGAAGGATTTCCACACGGATAACAAATGAAACAGGCAAGGGCAAAATGAGGTCGGCAATTAAACGCGGAAAGCTTCCCACACCATGCAGATCTGGTTCATAGATTCAAATAAAGAAAATAACCAGAAGAGCGTGGTGATCGGGGAAAGAGGAGGGCAAACAACGAGGAAACAGGACAAGCAGCTTCCGGGGAGGTCAAGATCGAGGAAATGGAAAGCGGAAGGATGGAAAGGCAAAAGAGGAAACCTCTGGGGAAATAACAGGCAAGAAACAAGGAATTTGAATGAAAATTACAAAGAGAGGCTCCAGAAATTATGAAGTTGGATGCAAGAAAGACGGAAACGAAGGTGGAATGGGCGAGATTTGCATGAGCGGCGAAGCTGATTTATATGGGGAGGGAGGGGCGGATTGGGCCGTGGGCCCGGATCTTGGACTCAAATAGATTCGAAAATTTATTTTCAACGTAACAAACCCTAAAATTCTTTTTCCAAGAAAAAAAAGAAGATAAAAGTAAGCATACGTCATCATCAAAATAGTTAAGAGAATATAATATTTAAATTTATGTTTCAAATAGTGCTCAAAAAAAAAAATTTATGTTTCAAATACTATTTTTCTCTTCGGACTGTATGTAGTCCAAATGTCTAAATGCAAATGCCAAAAAAATGTTTATTCAAATACTCTTCCGGTCCTTAATATAAAACCCAATTGTTGAGTTAATTTTGATCTTAAATATAAGACCTATTTCTCATATTTATCAATTTTCTCTAAATTACCTCTATGGATACTTCCTCAACTATAATCAAGTAAAAGAAGAGAAGGGGTATTAAGAAAGATAATTATGATATTTTAGGAAAAATGTGTCTCATTTCTTGTAATTAACTAACTTACCTAACTTTCTTAATCTAATCAAATTAGTTAAATGGGTCTTATATTAAAGACAGGAGGAGTATCAAGTTTAAATGATAGCTTACGGATTGACCAAGATGGGAATTTAGAGAGGTCCTGGAAAGTGAAAAACTGGGATTTAATCCCCTCTCATGTAATTTTATTTCGGACTTAGCCTTTCTTTTTTTGATCAAAAAATAAAACATGAAATTTAAGCATGTGTATAGATGTAATATTCAAATTCTCGTGCTTTTCTCGTGGGGACTGCACCATGTTGGTGTTTCTTTGTCTTGGCTTGGCCAGCACTCCAGCAGCCAGGGGGAGGCAAAGGACTAATCAGCGTCGAGTTGCCGCGTGACTTGTGAAATGGGGCCTTTCTTTTCTTCTCGAGGAGAAACTCGCGCTGGCGATACAAGTGAGTTAGGTGAGGCGTGTGGTGTGTTCATCTCGCGAGCTTTTGGGCGAGATTTTGTTGAGGAAGCGACTAGGAAGTTTCCTTGGAAGTGGTGGGGATCCCGGGATACCCACATACTAACTAGAACACCGATGAACCCTCACGATGCTGACACGTTAGCCCGGGCAATTACTGACTGACCCAGTGGCCGGGGCTGTCTGACTTGCTGTAAATCAGTTTTTCAATTCATCTTTCGGCCAACAGAAAGAAAGAAAAAAAAAAAAAAAACGTTTACTGTCCGTTGGTTCAAATCACCTCTACGCTCAACAGGTTAAAAAAGTTAAAAAAAAATATTTAGCGAGATAAAAAAGTGTTTTTTAAAAATATTTTTCCGTAAAATGAAACAGACTACTCTATATATTTACTTCGTATACAGTAAAAGCACTTTGAAAATTATAGCTTGGCTTTCATCCAGATGCTCTCTAAATTTAAAAAAAAGAGCTAGTCACTTTCACGGAATAATTAATTAAAATTTGAATTATTAGAAGAAATAGTTACGTTTTAATACATTTAGTTGTGACAGAACAGAATTATCTCTAAGAAAAAAAAAACACTTATGCTTGTCAAAAAATTTAGTTCTACAGGCTTTGTTTTCTGTTTCAACTTTTTTTTTTTCAAAAATTACAATGAAGCTTCAAAAAACTAATTATTAAAAAGTCTTAATAACAACTTAACTAGTTTGTAATGACAAGTTTTAGAATAAGAAATGACAATTTTTTAGATTTGTTTTGTAATTATTTTTCTTCCTAAAAACCTTACTGTAATTCTGCTTTCTTTCTTTTTTTGCCAAATTTTCTATTTCAACTCAAAAACATTACTTCTAGTTTCTACTAATTAAATATTTTTACTTCCTTATTAATAAAATACTGGTTCCATTTCGTCCTTGTAACTAAAGAAAACAAGATTTAGATCCGTTTACATAAAATTAATTTATCGAAAAATCATCAATAACTTTTTTCTGAGATCATATATAATGGTAACGGCGAGCTTGTGATGGATCAAATTAAAAAAATATTTTTCTCTGAATCAATAATTCAGTTTTCTGATACTAGATTGATAAATGATCATTGGGAGAATTGCAATTTGATCTTCGATCAATGTCATTTCCCTGTAATCCTCTTAACAAAATTAAAATACAATATTTGCTTCGTCAAATAAAAATCACTACATTCCATCCTTAGCATAAAAACTAGTTAGGGGTTAGATTTAATTCTAAATATAATATTTTAATCTATTTTATCTTTCATATTTATAATTTTTTTAATATCACTATTGATTATAAAACATTCTATAGGTAGTTTCAATATAAATGATTAAAAAAAATAACAATTTAAGAAAGACAGCATAAATTTGTTATAAATAAATAATTTAATTAATTTTTTAACATACCTAAATTAGTTAGTTAGCTTTTATATTAAGAAACATAAGTAGTATAACATTGCGTTAAATTAAAAAGAATAAATTTGTTCAATATTATCTTTTAAAGAATAAAAGGTTCAATCCTCCATGATGCATAGAAAATACATTATTTATTATTCACACTGAAATATTTTTACCTGTGCTTTAAAAAATTATTTGCATTATTATCTACATGATCAAATAGGCATTGAATTTTAGATATAATTAAAATGCTCAACCCCCTACAGTTAATTTCTAAAATGTTAAAAATAAAAGATAATTACAAAATAAATGTCAAATAACCAGAGTTACTTTGCTCACGAGTATTTTTCACTCACACCACTTCTTTTAACCCAGCATAACTGTGTATGGATCTGAATATTGAGAGACTTGATTAATGATTAATATAACTTCAGGGACCGGAAAAAAAAAAGAAGATTACTGCTATTATTCCTAAAATAGTACTCCCTCCGTTCCTTATTATAAGAGACATTTGATGTTTATGACATGTTCCTATATATAAGAGACACTTACAAGTTGTCTCTACTTTTTTGTGTTGATTTACTATTTTACCCATATTTATTATCTCTAACTCACACTCTCTCTCCCTCTCACTTCTCTTTCTTTTAATAATTTAATTGTTCTCTCATGCTCTCTCTCCTTATTAATGAGGGCATTTTTGAAAAAAAATTATACTTTTTACACATTAATTGTTCTTAACTAATTTTAACTGTTTTTTTTATCAACGTATTTCGGTTATTTGTCTCTTATAATAAGAAACGGAGGGAGTATGGTATAGAGCTCGACAGAGTCATTGCCTGTGAAGAAGTTTTTTTTTTTTCCTTTTTTTGCTAAAGCATAGCTATCCTCTAATTAGAAGCAATCCTATTCGAAACACTGTCAGGTACTAAACGTAAGCATCTCTCCTAATAAAAATTCAAATCTTAGTTCATCAAATTATGAGGGATTAGCTCCTTTCGCTGGACTTAATCCAGTCGGTATAAAGAAGGTTTTGATGATATCCAGGAAATGATTATTGAGGCGCCGCTAACCCACCAGTCGAGCTACTCAATTAGCCCACTCCTATTTTGGTGATACGATTAAAAGTCGATCCCAATATTAAAATTATTTGTTGTGAGAATTATTACTCATAAAAAAATACAATTATAAAATAATAATAATGAGTGAGCTGTTAAAGTCTGTTAAAATTTATCATTACAAATTGTTCACTTATTATTAGGATTTTTTTTTAAATTTTCCTTTCATCTTACTCCCCACAGTGAATTTCTCCAAAGGTAACAATAAAAGAAGAAAAAGAATTAAATATACTTATGGCGTTTTAATGAAAGGATTTTAAGTCAATAAGTTTAAATATGTTGCTGTACTTTTTATTATTACTCTTTATCTAAATTATAAGATCTCACTTATAATCTATAAATAATATCTTATAATTAGAACCGAAAATAATATTTTTTTGTCTTGACAAACAAATTATGCATGTAAAATTTTTCCCACAGTAAAATTACTGACGCTGTTATCACACTCGCCACGTGACTCCGCGATTATGGTTAAATGCCATTAAGGCTTCGTCCATGCTTCATCTTTTTTGTTAAAAAAAAAAATTCATCGGATCTATGTTATCCTCTTTCCAGGCTTAGGTCTTATTTGGATATCTCCTCAGATTATAATTTGAAGAAGAAATCATCCAAACAAAAGAAAAAAATGTGAAACTATGGTTTGGAGTAAAGCTATGGTTTTGAATCCTAAAACCATCATTTTAATAAGAGCAGGTTTTCACATCCTGTGACATCTGCATTTATTGAAATCAGAGCTTGTACTTTTTTTTTTGGAGTGAGACTGTTTACTATATCTACTAATAATTTTTTTTTTTTTGTGTGACAAGAATCATTCAGCCATATAAACACACATTAAAAACTAAACTCACTGTGTTCACCAAAAATAAATTACTGCACATTCATGTATTGTTGTGGATATATTATTTAAACGAAATTAGTAATCCCTGGGATGCCTACCCGTCCTAATGTTTTAAAAAGAAAACGGGGTACATGACATGGTTCTTCTCCCTTGAGGGGGTGTTTGGATAGAAACCAAACTATAGTTTCAGAAGTGTTTTTACGGTTTACGAAGTAAGTATGTGAAAAAGTTTGACTTGTTTTGCAGAAAAGTGCTTTTGAAACCCTGGTTTGGAGGTTGTGAAACACCCCCTGAGTTTGGTTCATATGCAATAGATGACAATGAAAACTCAACCACTTGAGTTAGCTGAATGTTAGATGGAAGAATGGGGAAATGAAGATGGAATAGAGATGGAGGGAGGAATTGGGGAGAGATGAAAGAGCATGAAATTTAATCTCAATGCTCATTGATGATTTGCTTACCTCGTTGAAATACTAATTATAGTTACTAATAAAAAAACTAGTTTGATATCTATTCTGATACTAAGGGCCTGTTTGGTTTGAGGGGAGGGGAGGTTTCATCCTCACCTTGTTTGGTTTGATTAAAAAGGAGGGGAGGGGAGGGTATTTAATGATTCCTTGTTTGGTTCAAGAGGGGAGGGATAGTAATAATCAATTTATCATTTTATCCTTACATATTAGTTTATGTTTTTTATTGATATATTATATAAATTAATTTACATCTCAATTTAAATTATATAATTTAATAAAAATTCAGTCTTATCATGTTAATATGTGTATTAAAAAACTGGTATAGTAATTTTTTATTCTAATTAATATAATAATATATTTAAAATAATCAAATAAACAAATTTTATATGCTCTAAGAAAAATGAAATTTTATTTTCTTTAGGCTATCTTTTTTTCCAACTTTAAAATATATTTATAAAAAACAATTAATTTTATAATATTATAATTTTTATTTAAATAATTTTTTATAATATATTTTTAATTATATAATGTATATATTTTTTATTTTTTTTACTTAGGATAATATATTTTTTATTTGAAATAAATATTATAATAATATATTTTATGGGTAGAAGTGGAATATTAAAAAAATTATAAGGACATAATGGTCCAAAATTTTGGCTCCCCTCCAAAAACCCCCAATTTGGAAGGGAGCCAAAATGGGGGGAGGGAGGGGAGGGGAGGGGAGGGGACATTTTAGCTCCCCTCCCCTCCAAAATTTTCAACCAAATGAGGGGAGGGGCTCATTTTCCCTTCCCTCCCCTCCCTTCCCCTCCAACCAAACACATCCTAAATATAAGATATTAATCTACCATGTTTTTCATATTTATCTATTTTTTTAAAATAACTACTGTGGTAGTTGCACAGTATTTCTTCGAATGGTAATTCTAACTAATACCCATGATTGACAATAATATTTTAAAAAATATAACACTTATTTATTACAAGTGATTAACTTAACAAGTTTTTTTAATTTATTCAAATTAATCAACTAGCTCTTACGTTAAAGGCCAGAGGTAATATAATTTTTTTATGACTCAGATTTAAAATATTTAATTGAAGGTTTGGAAATTAAAAATAACTTTTTAAAAAATTGATATATAAAAGATTACTTTTTATTTTGAATTACGTACGTACTAAAACATATTAAATTATTAAAAATATAAAAATCAAATCAGATTACTGAAATGATAAGTATTGAAATCGAATTAAAAGAGGTGGGAGGTTTATTTGGGGAGGGGGGTTTCCCCGCCCAATAATTCGTGTGTGAAATATCAAACCTGTCATCCCAAAAGGAGGCGTCAAAGAATTGATTTATTCGTAACGGGAAAATGATCGAGAACTCGGTTGCATGTAGACAGGTCTCAACTGATGGGAACTCTTCTGTAGTCCACGCTCGCCGCATTTGATTTGATTTTTTTTTCCCCACTCCACGTGGAAATATAAATGAACCTATTTGGAGCCTAAAATCTGCTCCAGCCTTCCGTCCCATATTATGGATATACCTGCCCCGATGAGCCCATCGTCCACTTTGATGAAAACGCATGTCGTTTTGGTGGGGATGATGCGACAGAAACACCACTAGTTTTAGGACGCATGTCCGCCCGTGATGCGATAAAACCGGAACCATTAATCTATTTTACATTTATCAATTCTCCTTCGACCTTGGGATGCCACGTCATCATCTCTATTCAAAACGCCGTTCCTTTCTTTGTCGTTTCCCGTTGCGTTTTCCCGACTCTTTGCCCCTCCTTTATTTCCACCAACTTCTCCTCACCTTTTACCCGGCGTTGCCCGGGCTTTTAACCTGCCCCCGCGGCCTCTCCGTGTGCTAAATTAGTATCACGTATATGTTTGGATTTGAAGTCTAGCTTTATTTTAATCTCAGCCCTAGAATTTGAGAGCAGTATTTTTTATTCTTGATTAAAAATAAAATAAGATCAAATTTTAAGACTAAAAATTATATTAACACATACATTTTATCACAATTGAAAAACCTTAAACTTTATTGATTTTATCTTAAAATTTTTTTTTGTAACTTTACCACTATTTAATAGCAACTTATATAATAATAAATTATTATAAAGTCTAAAAAAGAGATTTAATCACTAAACAATGAATAATAATTGAAGAATATGTAATGATATATTCTAACATAGAAAATAACAATAACTTTTTTTTGGTTGGCCTCTCGTTGAGATTTTTAATAATTAAATTAAAAAATATTTGGATGAAAAATAAATTATAATTTTAGAAATGACTCTGCAGAATTTAAAATTAATTCTCGACTTGCATGCACTTATTAAGGTGTTTTTCAGACACCCTAAAACACTTTTTAAATCTTGTCATTGGAGCTCAGTAATTCTACCAAAAAAGCTAAAGCAGGGATATCTTAAGACTTGTTTGGTTTCTTATTTTGAAAACAATTTTTTGTTTTTAAAAATAAAAAACAAAAAGATTTATTGGGCAATTTGTTTTTTCTTGATTGTTTTAAAAAACAAAAAAACAATGATATGTTTTTAAAAACTGAAAAACCAAAACAACTTTTACGTGTTTATTTACTTTTGTTTTTATGTTTTTTATTTTTTATTTTTTAAAAAATTGGAATAATCTTTTTCTTTTCTTTTTTTTTCTACCACCTACTACTTATCACTACCTGTAATAACTACCACTGGTCAAAATGTAATTTTGTTTTGTTATAAAATTATTTTTAAGAATAAGAAAACAAAAACAAACAACAAATAGGTTAGGAGAATGAGAGCCAAGGAACAAGGGTAAAATGCTAGGAGCAGGGATAGTGCTGAGGTGGCAGAGTGTGATAGGAAGAGAGGGATCTCAGGATATCTCAAAGCAGGCACTGCCGTTTTAAGAAATTTATTTCTTGTAGCCCTTAGGAGCACTCAGCACATTGTAACGGAGGAAGGGTAAAAAATCATGGATGAGAGGAGGAGACAGAGAGAAGAGGCGTGGCTGGTCAAAAAAAAAAGAAGGGGCGTGAACGGGGACCGGGGTATACGCTGCTGTTGGGGGCAGGTCTCGATAGCGACAACGCGGTAATTGCTTGGTTTCTAGATTCTTAACCAGTCAGTGGGCCCCACCTTCCCGGCCTTCAAGTCCCTCCTTGCATTCTCTCCAGTCTCCATGGCTTCATCTCAGTTCCTCCAAGTCATCATTCATTCATTATTATGTAAAGAATATTTTTTTTTGAAAAAATTAATTACATATATTTTGCAATGAGACTTAAAAATATATAAGTCATTTGATAATATTTTCAAGTTTTATTTTGGTGCGTGTGTACTAAATTAACATCTGTCGTACTTATAGAACTAATATTTAGGGGGTGTTTAAATAAAACTAAACTATAGTTTGAAGAATAGCTTCTGGAGAATAAATTTTGTGAAAAAATAATTCTGATAAAGTAAGAGTGTTTAGATAATTGTTATCAAAAATACTTTTTATATGTGCTAATTACTAAAAAAAACATAAATTAATATGATAGTTATATAAAAGATGAATTTTATAACACATTTTAATTTGAAAGAATAAAATTGTTAATAATACATTTTTTGACAACATAATTAATGACATATAAGATAATATAATTAATAAATAATCAATATGTGTATATATATTTATAAAATATAAAATTAAATATGTTTATAAAAAAATAATTGAGGGGTATTAAAGTCATATTATCATTGAAATCTACTCTGATAGGCATAATCATACTTTCTAATTTGAGCCAGAAACAGAATGGATTCACTTTTTTTGAAACCATGGTTTGGAATGTTATCCAAACCATGGATAACTTTAGAAATACTTTTCAGTGAATCGAGACAAACTCCTCCACATATTTACTTCGTATACAGTAAAAGCACTTTTGAAACCATGATTTTGTTTTTACCCAAACACCCCCTTAATATATAATTGAAAAGGTTGCAAGGCCGACCTATAAATACTTGACTAAAAATCAAATGAAATTGTAAGCAAGGATAAACTAATTTTCCCTTAAAAGTGTTATAGCTACGTCCGAAAAGAAAAATTATACCTGCGATTAAGTCAATATATTTGTGTATATACTACCTCCAATCCTAATTATAAGAGCTCGTCTGTAATACCGGTTTTAATTATAAGATCTTGTTTGCAGTCTATAAACAAGATCTTATAATTAAGATAGGAGATAGTATATACATGTGTAGTTGTGTGGTTGGACAAATTTGTCTTACTGATAATCGTGATAAGCTTTTTGGTTTTTTTTTTTTTTTTGAATGTGGCATGCACGACGCGTGTAACCTGTAATAATTCTATAGGATGGTCCATCGCTTGGGTGCGGAGGGTCGTGTCTCATCGCTAATCTTGAGTGGACCTACGTCCAAGAGGGCCACCAGATTTTGGGGCTCGTGTTGGAGGTTGCACGGCAGATCTCTTCCCCTACGTGGCTTTCTGAGCCCAATAGGACGAATGGGTGAGCTTTGCCCCACCCCACCTGACTCCCAACAATTTGTTGTTTCTACAGTACTGTTATCCATGTGATCCACTCTACTTTTCTCCTTATTCTTTTTTCTTTGTTTTTATTATAAGTTTTAAATGATTAATTTACATATAATAAAAAAATTAGTTAAAATCAATAAAGATGTAATACACATTTAAATATATGTCTTTATAATAAATAAAAAGGGGGAAGAAAAATGTAATAAGAGAGTGTGTGACAAAAATTAATAAATAATTTAAGAATAAAATTGAAAAAAGGATACAAACTCTAATTTAAACTTAAAAAATAGATCATATTCCTCTCTTAATTTAAATCTTATAAATAGAATCGGACAAAATTTTTTTCCTAATTATTCCTCTCTAATTTATTATTTTTCATGTTTGTATTTTGGTAACGACAAAGGAGACTAGCGCAGAGACTTGTTGCAAGTGATAATGTCATTGTTCATGGAGGAAGCAGTCAAGGTCAATAGTGCAGGGGTAGGTTCCAAGCTCTTTTGTACTATAACAAGTTTTTATATACTAGCTCCGGTCCTTAATATAAGGTCCTGTTTGATTTTTATTTTGATTCTAAATATAAGACCTCAATCCACTTTGTCTCTCATATTTATACTTTTTTTTTTCAAAATAGTCCTTCTAACAATAATAGTTCTAGTCAATATATTTAATTAGTAAGGATATTTTAGGAAAAACAATATCACAATACCTATTTAAGACAAATAACTAACTCAACTTACTTCCTCAATCTCCTCAAATTAGTAAACTGGCTCTTATAATTAGGATCGGAAGTAGTATATAAAATAGGGTTATATAAATGTCTTTTGCTAACGGCAAGTAGTCACTTGTTTTTGGGAAGCAAGTTGGAGATCATATTCCAAGTTCATGTGGACTATTTGTAACATGATATTTAAATGCTCTGTTTTACTAATCCAAACCAAAGCAAACACTTTATTCCACAGGGGCGTGGTTTGCCTTCACCGAGAGCCTTCCCCTCTGTCCTAAATCTCTAACCTCTTTCTCGACAACTTGTGGAGATTTTGTCTAAACCATTTCCCTTTGTTTCCCTTCTAGTGTTTGTCGTGCGCGCGCATTCTGCATATGATTGTCTTTTTCTTTTTTTTTTTAATAATTTCATGTCTAGATCATATGCCACGTATAAGTCAGCCTATGCGTCCACCTCATTAGTTAACAATGTTAATGTCATGTTAAAAATTTTAACAGTATCAAGATATCGGGGACCAACACTCTGAAATGAATATAATTTCAGAAACCAATAACACATGTTTAAAATTTCAAAAACCAATACCAAATTGAGTTCAAATTTAAGGGAATAGAATATTAGCCTCTTATTAGCCATTTCATGCACCTTCGTGGGGTTGCTCGGTCATAATTGCTGAGACGCAGGGACCAGAGAGCGTGCACGTGGTCGTACACTGTCCTCTTCAAAATAAATACTCATCCGGTCCTAATTATAAGACCCAATTGACTTATTTGAGGAGATTAAGGAAGTAAGTTAAGTTGGTTATTTATAATAAATAAGTGTTGTTATTCCTAAAATATCCTTGCTAATTAAGTATATTGGCTAAAACTATCATTATTAGAAGGATTATCTTGGAAAAAAATGCATAAATATAAGAGAGAAAATGGATTGGGTCTTATAATTAGGACCAAATAAAAAGTCAAATTGGGTCTTATAATAAGGATCGGAGGAGTACTATTCTAGGCCCGCCTCAACTCCTCCGTTATTAATTCTTTTATTGTATTTATTTCATAATATTTAAAAGATTTTTTAATGTTCTTCAATTTTATTTTTTATACATTGTTTTTATCATTATTTGGGGTCTAAATTCTTAGGCTAAAAAATAAAAATATTTGGAGCCAATTTATAGGCATTTGAAATATTTCATGCGTATGAATTAAAACTAAAATTTAATTTATCGGACCAATCATTGAGATATTTTGTAAAATCATGTGGCAAATATTTTGTTTTGTTAACTTTTATTGTTTTTTTTTTTACTTTCTTTTTAATAAAGTCCGACCTAAAACTATGTAATGAGAATTTTCAATTTGTTGTGATAAGAATTATACTCCTCTAGTCCTTAATATAGGACCCAATTCTTGAGTTGATTTTGGTTCTAAATATAAGACCCATTTCTCATATTTATTAATTTTCTCTAAATTACCCCTATAGATACTCTCTTAACCATAATCAAGTAGAAGAGGGAGGTGGGGTATTAAGAAAGATGATTATGATGTTTTAGGAAAAATGTGTTACTTTTCCTATAATTAACTAACTTACCTAACTTCCTTAATCCAATCAAATTAGTTAAATGGGTCTTATATTAAGGACCGGAGGAGTATTAAATTATCTATTTGTGCCAATCAAATACCGTAAATTAATAAAATGCATTAAGATCAGTAGATTACCTATAATTTTGATGTGCTATGAAATTGAACCAAGCATGCGCTGAAAACGCATGTGGTCGTACAATAATATAAAAAGGAAAATAATAAAGCCATCTCTTTGTCCAACAGCTTTTGAAAATGTAGGTCATATATGAGCATATCATGTGGTTTTATAATTCAAAATCTAAGAATGTGCATAGTTATAGACATACGAATGTAGACACACTATGCACACATATTTTTATATTCGAAGATTTATTTTTATAGTATTTAATAATATAACAATGATTTAATAAATATGTGAAATAAGACATAGGCGATAAAATAAAATTTTATTTGTTCGACAGGAAGGTGTCACTGTGGCCGCGCGTTTTGATGCCATGGTTACTTAATTAACGGTAGGAGATAATAAGCCCAAGGAAACAAAGAAAAGGGGTCATATAAGATAATGCCACGTGTAGAAATGCCTTCGTGGGGCCCAATCAAAAGCCTTCCAACAAATTGGACAGTCTTTACGGTTGGCCGAGTGATGAGCATGGGCCCCACGCGCCGAGCCCGCGGAGATTCGAAGGAATAAAACCATCCACGTGTCGCGCAAAGGGGCCAAGTATTGTTTTCTTGCGAGAACAAAAAACTTTTTCTTATTATATTTTTTTCACACATAATATACTTCGATCCTAAATATAAAATCCTTATACTTTCTAAATATAAAACTCTTATACTCGTGAGTATAAAGGTTTTATATTTAAGACTGGAAGAGTATTTGAAAACAAAAATATGGTTTTAATATATTTATTATTTTTAATCAATATGGTTAAAGTAAATATTTGACTAAAAAAAGTTATTTATAATAAATAAATGTTGTCATTCTTAAAACAACTTTGATAACCAAGTACTCTTCTGATCCTTACTATAAGACTTATTTAACTAACTTGATTACATTAAGAAAGTTAAGTAAGTTAGTTAATTATAAGAAATATAACATGTTTTATCTAAAACACTATAATCATCTTCCTTAATATCCTCTCTCCCTCTTCTACTTGATTATATGGTTGAGGGAGTATCCGTGCGAGTAATTTAAAAAAATTAATAAATATGATAAATAGGTCTTATATTTAGAACTAAAATCAACTCAATAATTAGGTCATATATTAAAGATAGAATTATTATTATTAAAAAGACCATCTTAAAAATATATATAAATATGAGAAATACTGTAAATTAAAGTCTTATACTTATAATCAAT